ATAGCCGTTAATTTATGATAAATTTCTGTCATTTAATATCCGTTATTGTACAGTAAATTTTTGTAAATTAATATCCGTTTTATACAGAAAATTTCTGTAAATTAATATCTGTTATTGTACAGTAAATTTCTGTAATTTAATATCCGTTATTTCTGCTAAATTACAGAAATTTACCATAAAATAACGAATATCAAATTACAGAAATTTACCAAAAGCTTATATATAAGGACATTTCTGTAATTTAATGTCCGTTATTTTACGATTAATGTCAGTAATTTAATATCTGTTATTTTACAGTAAATTTCTGTAATTTAATACCAGTTATTTTACAGTAAATTTCTTTAATTTAATAGCCGTTATTTTATGGTGAATTTCTGTAATTTAACATTCGTTATTTTACGATAAATTTCTAAAATTTAATATCTGTTATTTTACAGTGATATTCTTTAATTTAATATCCGTTATTTTACGATAAGTTTCTGTCATTTAATATCTGTTATTTTACAGTAAATTTTTGTAATTTAATAGCCGTTAATTTATGATAAATTTCTGTCATTTAATATCCGTTATTTTACGATAAATTTCTATAATTTAATATCTGTTATTTTACAGTAAATTTCTTTAATTTAATATCCGTTATTTTACGATAAGTTTCTGTCATTTAATATCTGTTATTTTACAGTAAATTTTTGTAATTTAATAGCCGTTAATTTATGTAATTTAATAGCCGTTAATTTATGATAAATTTCTGTCATTTAATATCCGTTATTGTACAGTAAATTTCTGTAAATTAATATCCGTTATTGTACAGTAAATTTTTGTAAATTAATATCCGTTATTTACAGAAAATTTCTGTAAATTAATATCTGTTATTGTACATTAAATTTCTGTAATTTAATATCCGTTATTTTACAAGTTTCTATAAATTAATATCTGTTATTTTACGGTAAATTTCTGTAATTTTTACGGACGTTATTTTGCCGGAAAAACAAAAACAAAAAAATGACAGATTTTTTTTACACTATGGTTTATATATTTGGAAAAGAAACAAGAAAAAAAAAGAAGTAAATCTTTTTTTTCCCCAATGTTGACATTTTACCAAAAGCAGTCCTGATTTACAACCTATACCACCATCAAACACCCCTTACACAGGGACAACTTTATTGACTAGTTTACTCCAAAAGAGAGAGATGCATTCAAGTAAAAGCAGTAAAATCATGAATGGGAGGTGTCTCCGAAGCAAGCAAGTCCATAGCAACCATTCTTGCCAAATATCCAGCTAGTTAACATTAAGTCCGTGGAAGACCTATAACCAAGATCAGGATTAAATAATGGGATGTTAAAGACTGCGGCTTTATCTTTCTCATCAAGACATGGTTGACTTGATCTGGCTCCCTTGATGCTGGATTATAAGTAGGACATGGATCCTGGATCAACCTCCTTTTGTTATCCTGCACATAATCCCCATTGCCATCAATCAATTCTAGTTCTAGACCCTTTCCATTAACCCAATTCAAACCATGATGAACTTCTAATATAATTGATTGAACTCTAAACTATAAATGATGCTTTTCATTTTGCCCCTTTTTTAATGAACAATCGTTTACTTAAGCAAACAGCGACTTCATTAAGACATAAGAGCAAAAATAGATGACATTTGTTGATAAATGATGAATAAATAAGACGTTAATATAGGGTTAAATTTAGGTCAGGTGACCAAAACTCAATGTCTAGCCAGCGTCTAAGGACAACGTTATTTTGACGTCCAATAATGACATCAAATCAGTATTTTGTCAATAATTGTAGAATTACACCACATGAAATAGTTGAAAAGTTCTATTATACTACAATTTAACCTCTGATGGCAGACTTACCTATATACACTCCTTATCATACATTCATATAAATAAAAAATATCCCAAAGACAATAGTCAGGAACCCAGGCATATCACATCATGTCAGTTTCAGTGTAAACAGAGTTGTTGATGATGATGTTAGTACCCTAGTTTTGATGCATACAGTATTCGTGTGGCTCACTTTCAGTGCAGACACCATACATCCTCCAGATTAGTTTGCATATTGTGTATTGTGCTTGTTTGAACAGATAAATTAGGGATTTTAAAACAAGGGAGAGTGAGGTAAAATATGCCACTTTGTGATAAGATGTCCTCCAAAAAGAAAATTTAGATACTTATAAAAACGCATTTCAGCCGGCTCCGTGGTTAGCACTGTCGCCTCACAGAAGAAGGTCGCTGGATTAAGTCCCAGCCTCGGCTGGGTCAGTTGACGTTTCTGTGTGGAGTTTGCATGTTCTACCCGTGTTGGCGTGGGTTTCCTGCGGGTGCTCCGGTTTCCCCTGCAGTCCAAACACATGAGCTATAGAGGAATTGGATTAACTAAATTGGCCGTAGTGTATGTGTGTGTGAATGGGTGTTTCCCAGTACTGGGTTGCAGCTGGACAGGCATCGACTATTTAAAAAATATTCTGAAACAGTTGGTGGTTCATTCCGCTGTGGCAACCACTGATAAATCAAAGACTAAGCCGAAGGAAAATTAATGAATGAAAAAAACTATTTTATTTCAGTATTTCAATGATCAACTGACATTAAAATTGAGCATTTAATTAGTCCAAAATAAATATATGTGTGTGAACTGTGCATATTTTTTACATATATACAGTATAAATACAGACATGCATGCAAACATTTAAGAAATGTTTATTTATATACATTGAAAAGATTGTAGAAATCACAGATTTGAATCATCAACTTTTCTTACAATGACTGAAGGGGGTTTTATACTGCGCTTCAGAATACATGCATGAAGTATCCTTGAATTACACTTAAATGAACGTAGGAATTTGTAGGTTATTATGTGTGTGTTTATACCCTGTATTCCTCACACTATGGGGACCAAATGCCCCATAGCACAGGTTTTTTTTATAGATCTCGATGAGGAAAACGGCTCCGAAGTATTTTGAAAATGTTTTGTTTTTGAGTATTTAAAAAAAAAATCAAGACTTTGGAAAGCTCTCATGAAGATAGATGTACAAATGAATGTGTGTGTATTTGTAAATACAATGACAATATACAGTGGGGGAAAAGGTATTCAAAATCCTCTTTTTTTTTTTTTACAGGGAATAATATTTCTAAAGGAGCTGTTGACATGGGATTCAAACAATAAAAACATAAAACTATGGAAACTTTTTGTGTTTAATAACAGTGGAATGACACAAGAATAATGTACCAGACTACTGACTTAGCTTAACGATGCCTCTCATATAGAGAATGAAGTCACATTCATGGCTCAGGTGTGAGTTTCTCACAGACTTCAACAGAGTGTCAAAATCTTGATGGTTCTGTGGGTCTCGTCTATCAAATCTCAGCTTTATTTTGTATTCTCTATTGGATTCGGATCAGGTGATTGGCTGGGCCATTCTACAGCTTGATTTTCTTTCTCTGAAAGTATCTGAGAGTCTCATTGGCTGTGTTTTGGATCATTGTCTTGCTGAAATGTCCACCCTGGTGTCATCTTCATCCTCCTGCTAATGTAGATGTTGGACTGAAGCAGCTGATATTCATTTACACTGAGGAAGAGCAGAGGGTTGCTGAAGAACCACTGAGGAAATTCAGCTGCTGTCTGGGCTTTCACTGCCGAACTACTGTAAACCTCCCTTTCTTCATGTGTTCAATATACTTTTTTTTCCTATGTCATTTCATTTTAATACACATAACTTCATTTGTAAACTAATTAGTTGTTGATTGGTTGCTATCAACATCTGCCGAAAATTGTAAGTCAACAGCACCTTTAGAATTTTTATTTATTTATTTTTATTTTTTGGATACTTATTTCCCCCGCTGTGACTTATTCTTCTGTAATTATATGGCAGTTTGACTAAAATGTTATGCATGCTATATGTTTAGGAGGCAGCAAAATATCGACCAGTGGCACATCTTACCCCATTCTCTACAACCTTGACCTCATAAAAAAGAAAGAAAAAGAAAACAATAGTAGAAAAAGTCTAAAATCCCATCATGTTTGAGAAATACAGTACAAAACACTTTGGGGAAAAACTGCAGACTTACCTGAGTCACAAAGAGTCAAAGCATTGTTTAGACGGAGACACTAACACTACACTACACACCAAATCCACAGCACGACACACACACACACACGCACTGTGAAATGAGCACTATCACGTCACGAACACACACACAGATGAACACAGAAACACAGATGAACCAAACTGAACCTCACTCACCACTCAGATTCAGCTCTCAGTGTATGAACATCAACACACGTCAGTGCATGCAAAGGTGTCTGGATACAAATGTGTTCACATGATAAAAGTGCTTGTGAGTAACACACCAACACATGTGAAAAGTACACTCAAGAACCCACAGGTAAAATAAGTCCTAAAATAGCCGTCTTGTATCCTACCTAGGGTTTATAATAACATGTAGGCCATGTTACCATTGTGATGTTTCTTTTGCCCGTGGACTCTTTTAATGTTGTGAGTACACTAAGAAACAAAAAACGCAAAGAAAGAATCACCACATCACAAAAACGAAACTCAAAATATCTCCAAAATGAACCAAGAAAGACAACAACAAAACAAAAACGTGTCCAACCTGGACAACCACGACCACGACTACTGATATTTCAAAATAAAAGCCAGCCGAACACCAAACACTAATACCAAACTCTCAAATAAAACCAGTTTGGTTAAACTGAACGTCACATAACAAAAACGCCAACTCACAACCCTGCTGAAAAAGCCAACTTAAACCAGCCTAGGCTGGTTTAAGCTGGCTTTTTTCAGTAGGGAAAGAATAAAATAAACAAAAAATGCGGATGACATTAGAACCACTACACCAAAAACACTACGAACAATGACAGAAAGCATATCTAGTGACAGATAACGTCCATATACAATATGTATATGTATAATATATATAGATAAATAGATAAAAATTTAGATATATGTTGCAGATATTTACTGTTTCATCATAGTGCCACACTCCCTGGCCATCCGGCAGCTCAGAGCTCACACTATTGTCCTGATCGATTAGCCAGCGATGAACGACGTGGGCCTAAAAGGACACACGACATAAACACAAGAAGCCATTAAATCTTCACACTTTTGTGGTCAAGAGAGAACGAGAGACAGATGAAGAGAGATAGAGCGACAGAGCTTGGAGGAGAACAGAGTCCCATCCATTTCTTGACATGAGAGACTACGCTTGAATTAGAGGCGGCAGACAGACATGAAAAAAGAGCGGGAAAAGGGGGAGAGGAGAGTGCAGGAGGATAAACAAACCCAGAGGGAGATTGATAAGCTAACAGATGAGCTAGCATTTCTGACCAGATTCTCACGTGTTCAACAGAAAAGTGTTGCTAACTCATTTGAGCGTGTGTATGTGTCTGGTATTCATCGTGGTCTGGTATTCATCGTGTTGTGGGGACCAAAGGAAGTAATAACAGTCCTTTTTGACCTTGTGGCTATATTTTTTGATCCCCATGAGGAAAATGGCTCATAAACCGTATAGAAATTGGTTGCAAATGTAAAACTGAAATATTTTCCTGTGAGGCTTTGAGGAAGAGGTCAGAATATACAGCCTGTACAGCATAGAAATCATTAAGACCCCATTAAACATGAAAACCCAATGTGTTTGTGTGTGTGTGTGTGTGTGTGTGTGTGGCATGTATTCCTCACACTGTGTGGACCAAAAGTCCACACAAGTATACCAACATCAGTACATTTAGACCTTGTAGGGACATTTTGTTTGGCTTCTACGAGGAAACTGGAATAAATCACGCAGAATGAAGTATTTTGAAGATGTGAAAATGCAGATTGTTTCCTTTGAGGGTTGGGTTTAGGGGTAGGGCTGAGGAAGAGGGATCGAATATAGAGTCTGTGTAGTATAATGTAGGTGTGTGTGTGCCTTGTATTCCTTACAGTGTTGGGACCAAAAGTCCACACAAGTATACTGATATCACTACATTTTGACCTTGTGGGGACATTTGTTTG